AATGTCGTTTTTCACATTCTACTTGTCCCTTTATACTCCTGGGGTATGTTTTCTTGCTGCTTCTTGGCAGTAAGTTCCCAATCTGCTCAATTTTGTTCCCTGAAGAGAAATCTCTAGGCTCCTCTTGGGAAGCCCTGGGATGTAGGGAAAAAGAAAAATATGGGGAAAAGGGGGTGAAGAAGAGGGTGTTCGGGATGGGGAATGGGCTCATCCCCCCAAATTCTTCACCTTTTGAAGAGCAGGGATGGAATGACAATGCAAAAGGATGGGGAATTGGGGACATATTTGCCTATTCTAGGTACTGGTCCAGAAGTTGTTTTTCAAGAGAACTCTTTATCATCAAACACTCTAGAATTATGCTGTTCAATAAGTAGCCACCAACCACATGTGGCTATTAAAATTAAATACAGTGACTAATCCAGCTCCTCACCCATACCAGCCATATATCAAATGCCCAATAGTCACATATGGCCTGAGGCCACTGTATTGGACATTAGACATTTCCATCAGCACAGGAAGTTCTATGGGGCAGCACAGCTCTAGCATGAAATTCCAAGGGTACCAGAGCCTGCCCCTGCCCTGCCTTCAATACGCTCAAGCTGGAGGCCTGCTGGACAGACTGCCCAGGGAGATGGGTGAAGCTTTGTGGGGTGACAACCTGCTTAGCACCATCTGAGAATAAGCTATTCACTTCAGCGACAGGACTGACATCAGCAATGGGAGAAGAGACCCATGGCTGAGCACAGTCAAGTGGAGAATGAGTAGCCACTTGTGGGAAACAGGGCACAAGAGAGAAAGTATGTGTGTATGTGTCCCCATGCACACGTATGCCTGCTCATATGAGTGTGGATGTGTATTTATGGAATGCTGAGAGATTCTGCATTAAATGACCTCCAAGGTCCTATCTCTCTGAAGAATGTGTTCCACTCCATATCTGTGGCCTGTTCTTCATGTTCTCTAGGAAAGGAGGTGTCCTGGCCTCTAGTGTTCTCAAGCTTCATTTATTGGATAAAATTTTAACAAAATTCTTTCATATCTCTGAGGAGAAACATACTTACAAAGAAACCCTGAGGTCATTTCTCTCA